CATGTACTTCGCCATCGTCGCCGCCATCATGTACCCCGTCCTGCTCCGGTTCTTCGAGGTGGCCACTTTGGAGATGGGGGTGAAATGATGCGCTCATTCTATCCTGAAGTTAGCAATGCTCACAGTGACGTTGGTGGTGACGTTGGCGGTGGCGTTGGTGATGTGGGCATGCCAGTGGTGCCTGCAGTCCCTTCGGAAGATGTGGAGAGCAGCTTGGGTGGTGATGCGGCCTCCTCTGCTGAATCGTCTGAGGGTAGGAACAGGCTGACTGCAAGAAGTCGTAGTCGTGATACGTGAGATGCAGGAGTCTTAATGTGTCCGGACTTGTGCGCTGAGCTGATTAGTCCGTTTTCTTGGTACAGTGTAAGCCTGCTTGTTGGCAGGTTCCGACTGCTGAGCAGAAAAGGGGCCACTACACTTTAAAAAAAAAAAACCCTAATCCCTAATCCCTAATCCCTAATCCCTAATCCCTAAACCCTAAACCCTAAACCCTAATCCCTAAACCCTAATCCCTAAACCCTAAACCCTAAACCCTAAACCCTGTCCCTGTCCTGCAGAAAGAGCACTGAGGCCTGGCTCAAGCTGGACGGCCCGGCGGAGCCAACGACGAAGATGGAGAAGCTATGGCCTCGGCTACCAGAGGAAGTTGGTGGTTTAGGGTTTAGGGTTTAGGGTCTAGGGAGTTGGGCTCCCAGACCCACAGGCTCCACATATAGTACCATTATGGAACTAAGTCCCAAAAGACTATCCTCATTAAGGGTTTTAGGGTCCTAATTCCATAATGGTACTATATGTGGAGCCTCTGGGAGAGGAAGTTGGTGTCTCTTGCAGGGTGAAGTTACGTGGGAACGTGTGGGGGTTGTTTAAAGTTTGATAAAGCTGGGTCTTTGGAAAGCTTGTGCAACTTTCAAGACGCGTTGGAAGGACTTTATGACGAGCTTTCATCGCTATGCCGGCTGCACTGAAGCGAAATCACGGGCTCATGACGGTCGGACTTCTTGAGAGTTAGGGTTTAGGGGTTGAGGATTTGGGGTTTAGCTTCTTCTTGTGGCAGGCGGTTGAGATTGAAATCTTCTTGATTTAGGGTTAGAACAATTGAGTCCTTATTGAAGCCCAAAACTTTGACCCTAAATTCTGAAACCCGATGTCATTTATGTTACGCACACGAACCACGCTCCGTTGAGTCGTTTCGCATTTAGCTTATGGGGTTTGGGTTCAGGGTTTATAGGCAGTAGGGCTTTTGGTTAATCATTAACCGTTAGTGTAAAACTTGATAATGATAAACCCTTTGAAGACAGTTCAACCCGGCGATAAAAGATACCCGGTTAAAGGATTGCAGGCAACACTGATCGCTGATGTCTAAACCCTCCTGTCTAGACACACACACACACACAAGGCTCTCAATCCTTAAACCCTAAGCCCTCTTTCCCACAACGCCCTCAAACCTTCAACCCTTTCTCCCACAAAGCCCTCAAACCTTTAACCCTTTCTCCCACAAGGCACTCAAGCAAACCTTGATTTAACCCTTTCTCCCACAACGCCCTCAAGCCTTAAAGCCTAAACCCTAAACCCTATAAACCCTAAGCCTCTTTTCCCTAATCTCTCGAAGCCTAGACCTTCTTTAAACTGCAGGTCCCCAAACTACCCAGGGTATGGGGTTCAGGGTTTCAGGGTTTAGGGTTTCAGGGTTTAGGGTTTCAGGGTTTAGGGTTTCGGGTTTCGGGTTTAGGGTTTTGGGTTTAGGGTTTGGGGTTTAGTTTCTAGGGTTTAGGGTTTGGGGGTGTAAGGTTTGGGTTTTGACAGACCCGAACCCTAAGACCTGCCCAGGAAGCATCCTAAGAATGATGAGCTGGGCGAGCGATTGCTCATCCACTCCAAAGACATCTACATCGAGCAGGAGGAGTTCTGAGGGTCTTTAGGGTTCAAGGGTTTAGGGTTTAGGGTTCAGGGGTTGAAGGTTTTTATCCAAATTGTAGCAGATGCCCGGACTTTTGAGCGTTTACGGGGTTTTGGGACTGACGAAGCTTCTGTTATAGGCTTCTGTGTGTGTGTTTTCTTAGGATTTGAACGTTTAGGGCTTTTTAGGGGTTTAGGGTTTAGGGTTTAGGGTTTAGGGCTGACTTCATGGTGGCTTGCCCTTTCTTGAATCGAGCTTTGGGGTTAAGACTTTACTTGTGAGACACTTAACCCTAAACCCTAAACCCCTAAACCCTAAACCCCTAAACCCTAAACCCTAAACCCTAAACAGCTTCGGGTTAAGACCTCGATTCGGGGATGTAGAGTCCTACCATGTTTGGGACAGGGAACTCGGCAGTCATGCCGAATACAAAAGGGGCCTCAATAGTTACCAACATTATTGTGGGGGGGTTTAGGGTTTGGGGTTTAGGGTGTTCCAGATTATACGATAAAGGACCCCAAAAACCTATTCTAATTATGACGGCCGCTAAACCCTAAACCCACATAGTAGCCCTTAAAGAACCCCTTTAAGGAACCCTTTAAAGGAACCCAGCCCAAAGAAAAACCCTATTCTAAGTAGTAAGGCCCTTATAGTATGTGTGTACCAGGCAGAAAAAATGAGATTCAGGGCGAGAGGCGAAGAGGGTTTAGGGTTTAGGGCCATGGCCCTGGAGGCAGGGAGCACGTCCTCGCAACTTCTACGGAATCGCTACATGAGGTTTAGGGGTTTAAGGTTTAGGGTTTAATAGTTTAGGGTTTAGGGTTTAATAGTTTAGGGTTTAGGGTTTGGGGTTTAGGCTTCAGAACGCTCATAATGCCACTGCTCACCCCTGTAGTTCCCTGAGCCCTGCCAAAACAACTCTCTGACCCGCATCCCGAAAAAAATCCCGAGTAATTGTTCTTATCAAAGCCCCGTCCTGCTCCGAATTTGACTCTTACCCGACAACAAGAAGAGTTTGATTGAATGCGAAGACTGATGAAATTCCCTTGCCTTTGACCCGGCAGCCCCCAACCAAAAAGCTCTTACCGAAAGCCCTTACAGGAAAGTCGTAACCCTAACCCTAAACCCTAAACCCTCCAGAAATTTCATTTTCTAACAAACCAATTTCCGTTCCAGGGCACAAACTAGCCCCAGCCAGCCCAGCCCAGCCCAGCCCGCAGCCCTACACCTTCTGCAACGGAACCAAAAACACAAACGCAAACAAGAAACTTTTTGGAGGTGTCGGCCAACCTTCTGTTCATTTATTAGAGGTAGAAGGTTGGCCGACCTCCGAAAACGTTATTGGCACCCAAACCCTTAACAAATTCTATAGATCATTTCGCAGGATGCCCAAGCCATCGAGTCCGGCGAGCAAGTCACGCTGCTGCATTGGGGCAACGCCTACGTGGAGCTTCGGGCCGCAACTTCTTGCTTAGGGTTTACTGCTTATAGGATTTAGGTTTAGGGTTTATCGGATTATGTATATATATATATATATATGCTACCCCCCCCCTCCAAAACCCACCCC